ACCAGCTAATATCGCAAATATGGACGAGTACGGCCTTTAGGAACTCGAACAAAGGCGGGAAAGGTCATAGGAAGCTCCCTTATACGCAGATCTTACGTTGTTGGCCCTGACGCAACTACCTGGGTCTCAATCATCGAGTGCGTGACTGCAGAGGGCAGAAGAATACGCCCAGTTATCGTCTTCACAGGATAGAGCCTCCAAGCGCAGTGGTTTCCTACAGATCTTCAACTTCAGGCTGATTTTCCTAATTGGAAGTACGATCATTCGCTCACTAGCTGGAGCAATGCCGTAATAGCCCTAAAATGGCTTAAGAACGTCTATTTAATCGATACCAAACCAGAAAGGCGCTCAGAATGGTGCCTCTTAATTCTGGATGAGCATTCAAGCCATACGATGGGCGCATTCATGTGGGAGGCGTGGAAAAATAAGGTGCAACTACTTTATTTACCTCCGCATAGATCACACAAGACCCAGCCACTCGATCGGTCTGTGTTTTCCGCTTTGAAGGCATACTTTCATCAGGATGCACAAAGTCTGGCCCCTTTCCGTGCCTCTGCGGCGATCAACAAACAACGGTTTCTCTATGTTATAGAGATGCATCAAACAAGGCCGTTATAGCAAGGAATATAATCTCTGCTTCAAACAAACTGGTATCTGGACTCTCAATCCTGCAGCTGTACTCGATGACCCTGATGCAGTGGTCCACGAAGATGCCCTCACCCACCTACCCAAGCCAGCCACAACACCACCTCCTGTACCAAAGTTGTTTCTCTTCCAGACCCCCAAAAAGAGCCAGGGTCTTCGAGAGCAATAGGAAATTGTCAGGAAAGAAAGCAACAGGGATTCCAGGGCTCTTTTTTTAAGGTAGGGAAGGCCTTGGACGTTAAGAATGCCGACATCGCTGAGCTCAAAGCACGAGTTGCTGCCCTCACAACCGAATTAGAAGGTTATAAGCCTTACAAAAGGAAAAAGGTCAGGGAGCCTACTAACGATTGTTTTGCGAGGATTGAGGATATCGTGGCTGCGCAGTTGGCTAGTAATCAGCCTGCAAGGAAGAAAGCTAGGAAAACAAGGGAGCTAAGCGTCGACGAGGATAGCGACGAAGAGGTGCAAGGAGAGATTGTCTGCGCACTTGATACGATTAGGCGACTCAAACAGGAATAAATAGCCTTTATTAGCTTCTTAATAGTTTCAGAATTGTTGAAGTTGTGATTATTTAGATGTGGTGGGTGTGGTGGGGGGGTTGATCCGGGAATGGGGTCAATCCCGCAACTGGGTCAACACGTCTACTATCTGGGAGGACGCAGAGTTGCTTACTACTATCTCAGTTCATTAAACATTAACCCCCCCCCCCCCCCCCCCCAAGCCAAGTCCCAAATTCCACCTCTTCGACTCCTTGTGAACCCGATCGAGACACAACTTGTTTCTCCATTCATCGCAAGCCCAAGAACCCCAGCAAGATCCCCAGAAATGCTCCCAGACCAACCAACACAGGTGTCAAGACATATACGCAAGCCATGATTTAGTTCGTCAATCGACTGATAATGGTGGGATTTTTGAAGAATGGCAGCTGAGATCTCCAGAATGCTCGCCCCAACACAGGGAGGAGGATGTGTACACCAACCCATGATTTCGTACGCCAAACGACCGATAGTGGTGGGATTTTCGCCAATGCAAGCCCCGAAACCTAACGCAGAATGAATATGTATTTGGTGAATCGTTCCGGTATCGTGACCGTGTCCCTTGGGGCATTGAAAAAAGAAGACAGAGAAAACTAAAGGCAAAGCCTAAACGTCTACACAGCGCCGGCCGGCTTGGTATTCGTAGTCGTATCGGAAAATGCCCAGATTTCCCATCAGAACATCGCCGTGCTGCTTCGTGACCATTGCAAGGATTCAACCAAGGTCGGCCGTATAGATAGGAGTAATTAGGTAGGTCGCTGTCAAGCAGCCAGAAAAATGGTGCTGCTAATTTGAAAATCTCGTGGCAGACGGATGTAGGTCTTGCACCGGATGCTCAAAACATTTACAACGGAACCGAAACCGCTGAGCATAATAATGTCTTCAACACTCTATTCCTGGAACGAGTGGAGGATGCCATCAATGAGGCGCTCTTCAAGGCGCAAAAAAGGCCAGCCAGCCCCATGCCAATATGATAGCGCGTTAGGTGCCTTTCGGCAGCAATTCTGGCTGATCAGTAAGATCCTGTGCACCTAGCAAATCTTAGATGTGATACTGGAGGGCCGCATTGGGAGCAGGGCCGTTTTCGCTAGTCAGTAATCCATAACGCGTTAGCCATATATGATGTGCTACTACAAGTAGATTATCGCGAAAATGAGGAGTTTGAAAAACTGAAACACTTACAACTTCCAGTAGAACCATTCCAGGACTTCCTGCCAGGCGCGCCACCTGTTATGCGGGAGAGGCCTGACGAACGCGTATTGAAGGAAAGACTACTGAGATTTCCGTTAGTACCTGGTATTGTTTATAATAAATGGGCAGAACTTGACGAGGAAATATATGCAGAACTTGAGGGGAAACGCATGCAGAGCTCGAGGGAGGGACAGAGGCAAAGCTTGAGGAGGAAATGGATGCAGAGATCAAGGGGGAGATCCAAACAGAGATTGAGGAAACGCATGCAGAACTTGATGAGAAAATACATAGAGAACTAGAGGGGTAAACGCATGGAGAGCTTGAGGGAGAGACGGAGGTTGCGCTTGAGGAGGGAACGCATGCAGAACTTGACGAGAAAATACATGGAGAACTTAAGGGGAAACGCATGCAGAACTTGAGGGAAAGAGTTCGGCATAAATAGGCATCAGGCGGGGCAGACGCGAGGGCAAGACGCGAAGCCCAGACGCGGGAACAGACACGAGACCGGACGAAAAAGCAGACACCGAAAGAATCAGACCTCGGGAAATTCACGGCAAGGAAGGAAAAAGAGATAACAGAGCGGACCTCAGAGACAGCATGCGGACAGACACAAAACACACGTGAGAATACATGAGAGCGAGGACAGAATGGCAGAATTTAAAGCAGACTTCAGCTTGGAGGGGATCAAGCCAACTCATGCAGCCATTTTGCGGTTGGTGCCAGCAAGAGCTGCCACGGAGGGTATATCGTCATCCAGATCTTCGGCGATTTGTGAGATCCAAGTTATCTTAGCAGGGAGGCTGTTCATGCCAGCCATATTGCGATGTTTCCTGTTCACTAGCCAAGAGTGCGATGATTTGTGATTGAATGAGTATAAGAAGTTCTAGTAGTGGTGGTGCTGATAGTCAAGATTGCCCGAGGGAGTGGAGATTCAGCGTGCCACAAGAACGAATGAGTTGGCGAGGTTTGGAGGAGCAGGCGGAAAGTTGTAGGCCTAGACAAGCGATGCAAAGTAGGTAAGCAAAAAAGTCTGATACACAAACATGAGGGAGATCAGGCAGGAAACCAGGCGAATGAACAAGAGGAATAGTACCGATACGCGGAACACAGACAGGCGCAGATGTCTCAGATGGAGCTTCACAGACTGACCAGACAGCTGATAAAAGCACTTGGGTGGATAGGTCTGTTTCATCCAATTCCTACAATGGCTTACTAGGCCGTTCGACCGCTGAAGCAAGCACTGACGCCATATCGGCGATAAACGTAGTTGGGCAGAGGTTTGTGGGTCTGGCGGGCTCCAAAAAGTCCACGTCACCAAGTCTTCGCGCTCGATCGAGTGCCCACAGAAAGCGAAGTGTTGTGTGGGCTACCACTGCGTACCGGTTGCACCTCCCCACTCCGCAACCGTTGGCGTAAGAGCCCTCCGCCTAGCCGCGAGAGGTTAATAATCCCAAATCGTCCGTCTCCGGTCCTTCGTACTCTGCACAGCTTTGTCGAGAGGGCGATCGACAACCAACCCTGCCCAGCCATGCGAAGCCAGCTTCGCCAGGCCCATCAACCATCGTGCCAAGACCGGCGCCACGGGCTGAAGCTCACGAAGGATGCGCCACCCAATCCATGTGATTTTCTTTTCGTGAGATCCTCCTACGAGCTTCCAGTTGTTGACTTTCGTCTACATCCTACACAGTTTCTGGTCACCACTTCATTATACTCTTCTTGAGTTAAGTTGGGAGAATTTGCCAGTCAAATTAGCACGTTTCTCGTCAGGTATGTCTCTTCCTCCTCCCCTTCTGATGATGTCCTGCCGGTTACTATCCATGACATGATGCTAATCTCCGAGCCACGCATGGTTGAAAGGCAATCTTTGTTCTAGTATTTTCCCAGAAGGCATTGGCTGGAGCTACAATGACGGCAGAGACCATCACGCCACGGCGACGGGAACAGTGCAATCAAGATGCCAAGCCAAGCAAAGAGACCAAAGTTAATATTTTATTGTGTTCCCTGAAGTACGGTTCTTAGGGATGCTCCCAGGCACGTTCTATGCTTGTGGAGGGCGTAACAAGTGCTCTGGGATACCAGACTGGACATCAACAATCTCATCCATAGTCCAACAATAGCCATCCTGAAGAAATTACTCAAAGCCCACAACGGAGATGTTTCTGCAGTGTTCGCCACCAGCAGTATCTTCATTCATTGGAACGCCTCCCTCTCAGCTGTCGACTTCAGAATCAGTTAAGTACCTCGATAAATTGACCGGCGATTTTGCTTCGGCATAAGCCTCATATTTGTGGTAATTGCCCTCTGAGTATCTGTCTTATGCGTGCTCCTGAAAGTGCTTAGTCTTAAGGGTTCGAAATGAAATATAGTTCATCACAGGAACCTCGATGAACTTTATCATCTTTTCACTCTGTAAGTAATCCATGCTATCCTCAATACTACTAGTACCGTAAATTTATAATACAACCAAATAGAAACTATCCTTTTATCTCGAGAGTTTCTTGGCGCCGTGATCCCCTCCGGTGCTTGTCTCCACCTCAGCCCGTGAACCCCTGAACCCAAACAAACCCCATCGCGATCCACCAACTCATCTCCCCCATTACAACCAAACACATCCATCGAACAAGCATAGGGCGTGTGGCTCAGTTGGCAGAGCGTTCGCTTAGCATCTCATCGTCTTCCGAAGATGGTTCCGCGATGCGAAAGGTCCTGGGTTCGATTCCCAGCCCGTCCAACGCAAGAGCTCCTTTGGAATTCTGACTCCCTTTTTGCACTCCTGTCACATTTTATTATATTAGAGAGACTAGGAATCGCAGCTCAGAATCACTGTATCAATAGTGATGTTTTGAAAACACAGTCGTGGTCTTGGACTGCGAATGGACTCGATAGTATTGGAGCAACAAATACGAGGTCGTTTGCTAATTACCGCAGTTTCGTTTTAATGAGAAAACCTTAGCGGTTATACCGCATACACGCAGTTGAATCGTTTCTGTGTAAGGGCTTGCCCAGACAAGGCACTAAAGACGCCCAACGCCTTTGCGACAAGCCTTCAACCCATTTTTATTTTATTTTGAAGACCTAATAATGTGATGTTGGCCTCCAGCACTGTCCAGTTGACGTTATTTGACCAGCCCTAACCCCAAGTCTCGATACGTTCTGTCATACGAGGCCTGTGGCGCCTTTAGCTCAAAAACGATTCAACTGAGTGTATGCGGCGGTGGTTGTCGGCTGTACGCAGGGGGGTTTCTAACTTTCTTCAATGTACATGTAAAATGCCACCATTACAGCCTCAAAATTCCAGATAGTTCCCCATCTAATCCTCTCAAAACATGACTCGCAGGTGCCCATACCTTCCATCATGGACAGTCGGTGATTGTCCGTGTTCGTTAGGACCGGATGGACGCCTTCTTTGGGTACGCTGGCAGCTCCATCTCGTCGTCGGATGTCATTGGTGGTTGATTGGCGTAACCATCCTCTGCAGCGGCCTGAGAAGTCTTCGCAGCTGCCTCTGTCCGATCGCCTTCGTTTTCTCTCTTCTTGTCTTTGTCGCCACCGCAGCACCTAATTCCACAGCAAGGACTGCCTTCAATACAGAGCGTGTGAAAAATGGCGCCGATGATTATGAGGATAAGGACTGGTGGCCAGAGGAGCCCCAAGATCAGGGCCCCGAAGATGCCCAAACAGAAGAAGCCTGGATCCTCCTTGGGAATACGGATGCAAGCTGAGACGAAGATACCTAGCCCAATCGCCGAGTAGATGGCGATGGCGGTGACGACTGCGAACTGTGGGCCAGCATACAGTTGTCTAAACCATTCATCAAAATTTCTCGGTTCCGGCGGTGGAGTTTCGGTCTTCGAAGGGATAATCATCCTCCCTTATGTTCTCACCCGCGAGTCGGATGGATATTTGGTTGGGAAATCCCAGTGAAATTGATGCAAAGTAAAGTAGAAAAATCGCAGCCAACAAAATTTATGTCGAAGTCGTTTGCTTTCTGGAAAGTGTAAATAGTGCTCGGCAAAACGAATGAAATATGAAAGAAACGTTTATAGCGCCGGGTTTGAACGGCTCTTATGTAAGTACCAAGGTAATAGGGAGACGGGGAAAACGTAGCGGAGACATGCGTTCAAACTTCACCTCAAGCCTTGCACGGGGTCTCCGGTGCAGCGATGGGGTTTCATGCTCGAACTTGGATTTGGCGAACTTTAACGATTGTGGATAAGAGAACCTACCTATCTACGTACGTAGAGACTATTGCTTGAAGAACGGAGAACCGAAAGTAAGTGTCACATTGTTCAATGTGGGAAAAGAAGTATGCAATGCTCTCAAGTTAGCTGAGTTAAATGATAGGATTGAAGTATCGCAGAGAGTTTGGGCTTGAATAATGGCACCGCCAGAGGACGAATGTGATAGTAACAAGATAACATGGAAGACTGACCAGAAATATGGCGATACACAGCGACGTAGTATAAGTAATACAGAGAAGGTGGGGCAGCAAGTTTACTCAGAACACTTGAATTGCGAGTGATCGGCAAGAATGAGAAAGTAAGTCTAAGTGTGTGTCTATACTTTGTATAACGAGTTTAGAATTGTCATGAATGGATTGGCCTTGTTCTCAAATCAAACCATGATTGAGTTCACTGATAGCTCTGAACAAAGCACGTCGTCCTTTAATGACAAGGATTCGAAAGGGAAGCACGAATAAATCCGTGCAAGTCCCATTAGGTATACTGTAGTAGACCGTGGCGCTAGAAAGGGAGCGATGGTATTGCATGTGGCCCAGACAGCACATAGCGCGTTGTGCTCCCTGCCGAAGGTGTGCCAGACAGAGTGACAAAAGCGACGACAAAAATCAAAAAGAAATAAGCCAGTTCAGTTCCCGGAGACGCCTTGTGCTTGATTTGGGTTGCACTCTAGTCGCTGAGAAGCAGTAATACAGGTAGAGTATGAGTTTCATCAGTTTCGTAACCCGAATTCGATCATCCTTTTTATGGAACACAGTCGATGACCTGGACAAGAAGTTCACGTTCTTAGTCCCCGGGCTTCCTGTCTATGAGGGGAGGAACTTGGTAGAATAGAGGGCGGTCGCCCACCGGCGGGGAACGTGCGCTGGATTTCGACCGTTGCGGGACAGGTCAAACTTTCTCATGCGTAGTGTGCCGGTTTTGATCTTTAGCAGTAGTCACATGATCTTCCTTTCTCGAGGTCGTCGCCGCTCAGATTATCCTCATGAAGCCACTCTGTGAGCTTGTCACAGTATGACACCTATAATCCCGTCAATACGGTAAGTACCTATGCATGAACACTTACACAAGTTCGTAACACCATGCTGCCGAATTTCCCTTAGCTGGGGGGATAGTTTCCACAAGGCATTTCCCCCTTTTAGAGATAGGCCCAAGTTGGGGTGCAAAACCAGCGTGCGCAATGGGACTGGACGTAGGGGGGATTTCGGAGCCTCATCGTTGACGGCTGCTCTTGTTCTTTCAAGGGCAGTAGCTATGAAAGGCTTTGCGGCAGGTATCCGGTGCTCTCCTGCACACTCTTCTGCCAAAACTCGACACCTTTGGCCCAGAAAGATGGGGTGGCCTGCAGTAGCAAACCGCTGGTAGTTCTTGATCATGATAGGGCGGGAACCGAGACTGGCTCCTCCGCACTGGTAAGCATGGTTGCGGACCTGTTTTTACTCCTACGTATTGACCGCCTAGGCTGGTCGAAGATCCCCCGCCCCCCAGTTAAAGTAGGCTAAGATTGGGCGTTCGCTCAACATCTCGAACGGGTCGAAAGCTTGGCAGGGTTGGCGCGGATGCTTCGAATTCCGTCAGCCACTTAGACGTGTGAGTTATCGACCGCTTTCATTTGGCTGGCCTCGTACTGGAAAAGAGGAGGGATGGCTGACGAATCTCCTCGGCCCTCCTGTCGGCCAACCGATCTGGCTCGTGGTTGCACGGCAGCGGTACTGAGAAATGTTCCTTCTTGACTCGTGCCGCTTGTTGCTTACAGGGTGTCAGAGCCAAAGGGGAGGGCGTGCAGAGACCAAAGGCTGAGAGAGGAATCAGCAGGGCAGAGGTAGGGTGGATTTCGGGACTCTCGGCGAGACTCGTGTTCATGATTCTTGTGCGACAACAGGCGACCAGGTGAGTTGCGGCGGTGCTGGGTGGTAAGGAATGTGACGGGAGCCCTATTGCAACTGTGAAATGGATTAGGTAGGTTTAGTGAGATGACTGCGGCGGCGAGAAATTGACTGACGCCGAAACCGAGGAGGGTTGATCAGATTCGGAAATAAATTACGCTTCCACGGTCATTTCCCCATCGGTGAAGCCAAAGCGCTGGCTCGCCTGATGTCAGCTGCTTGCTGGGCCTAGGAGGAGCTCTAGTTTGGGTAGGCCTATAGTCCAGCGCCAACTGCGTTCCCCGGACGATCCCTCAGCCTTAACCGCACCCTAAATTTCGACCGTCCCCACTAAACGACAGGGCTTGGTCCCCCCTCTTGACTCACGGGGCGCATTTGCGGGAGCCTCGTGCTGACTGCATCGACCCCACTCGGGTAGGCTACGCCTGGCACCCGGACATCCATGTCGTAATTGGGGCAGTGGTTCGAAGAGAATTCGTTCTGGGGTACCACAGTTCCGAGCTCTTGCAGCCTTCAGCTGAGGACATCCATGTCTCTCCACCTGACGACACCGCCTTTTACCACCATGATTACGGAATAGGCCCAGCAATGATGAAGTCCGTGAGCCCGTCAGACGCGTCTGTCAGAGGCCCTCGATGGGAGCAACAGTCAACTGATTCGAGCCTAAGGCATTTCTGGCTGTCTGGCCAGGCAGGCTATATAAGCCCAGCCAGTGCCAAGATAACCTGAGATCCTCACAGACTCAGCAAGTTTCCCCCGAGCAAACAGCCACACAGAATATACTCATACAAATCCGTACTCAGAGAATACCATCTCTTGTGACCACAACATGAGCTCCGGAAACATTGCCATCACTGGCGTGCCCACCACCCCTGCCGCCAACGGTAAGCTTTCCTAGCATTCTGCTAAGACATTCCGTCCATCCATACACTCCATATTCTCTCTACTCGGCACTGAGGATAGAACAAAACATTCATCCAACACATGCCTGTTAAGCCCCTGTGCTATTAACAGCATCTGCTAACACCACCCGACCCCCAGGCGCCGTCCCTCTGCGCCGTGAGCTTCGCGACCTGCAGAAGAACTACCCCGACCAGTTCAACCTCTACATCCTAGGCCTTCAGAACCTCCAGGGACTCGACGAGGCTCAACTCAAGTCGTACTACCAGATCGCCGGCATCCACGGCCTGCCTTACAAGCCATGGAACGGCGTCGGTAGCGACACCGACTGGCAGTCGTCCAGCGGCTTCGGGGGCTACTGCACCCACTCCTCCATCCTGTTCCTGACGTGGCACCGGCCTTACCTTGCCCTCTACGAGCAGTGCTTGTATACCTCTGTCCAGGCTGTGGCCGCGAAGTTCCCCGCCGGAACTCTGCGAGACAAGTACGTCGAAGCGGCAAAGACCTTCCGCGCTCCCTACTTCGACTGGGCGAGCCAGCCGCCCGCAGGAACCGAAGCCTTCCCGACGACGCTCAGCTCGCCCACCATCCGGATCGTTGATGTGGATGGCAAGTCCAAGTCGGTCAGCAATCCGCTCCATCACTTCAGCTTCCACCCGCTGAATCCGTCTCGTGGTGACTTCAACGCTCAAGTATGCTTAACCCCT